TACATTTACAGTTATACGAACTGGGCGAAAAAATGGAGAATTAAAATTAACCCCTTAAAATCACAATCTAAAATATTCAATCTCAGACATCCTCCCTTCCCTACACTCTTGCGAATAAGTAACACTGATGTCCCCTGGCTTTCTCATTCTTCACTAGCCAAATACCTAGGTGTGTTACTGGACAAACGACTAACGTGGAAACCGCACATTCAATCATCAGCCCATAAGACACGTGCCGAAGTTCTAAAGCTATACCCGTTTATCAACAGAAATTCCAACCTCGGTATAGAAACTGGGCTACTCATCTATAAAATGATAATAAGACCCACAATGACATACGCATGTCCAATATTGCGCAACATAACACCAACCAATCTATCCGTTTTACAGACAATCCAAAATTAATATCTAAGACAATCCTTGAAAGTTCGTGGTTCATTTCAAATTCACAAATCCACCGAGAGTTTCAAATACCTCTCCTCTCAGAATTCATCTCACAAACCTCTGAAAAATATTATTCTCTCCTCCCAGCATGCCCCAACACTCCAATATTCAATCTCGGCCAAAACGCACATTACACAGGTCAACATGGATTTTGCTGTTTTAGGTTTTGATGTCTTTTTATAGTAAATTCAATGTTCTGAATCCAAAAACGACGTCCATTTAGTCCTATCACATACCGTTTTCTTACAAAATTTAAATCTTCATTTTTATTTATTTGGCTATTGTTTTGTGATCATAACCCATTACATCATGAAAACAATGACATCTATAGGAATAAATCTACTTAAATGAACAAGTTGACTGTTTTGGAAGTAGATGGCAGCGCATCCTAAGTTGCTTCCACCTTTTTTGTGTCGTGAATTCATCTGTATAGGCCATAATAGTTGTTCTGTAAAGCAAGAAATTAACATTTAAGTGCTACCATTTTCTTGTTTGTATCATATGTAATTTCGTACACAGTAATGCAAAGGAGGTGTTGTGTAAATAATCCAAAGTCATTTTGCTATATTTGTGGTAGTTTTATTGTGAAGAAGCAGCGAAGAAACATATCCTCATTTGTAACAAAATCTTACAAGGCATACTTCGGAATCCATCTAGGGGATCAGTCAAGGCCTTGGACTACTCATGCTGTGTGAAGTGTTTGTGTTGAAGAGTTACGAAATTGGATGAAGGGAAAGACTACACAGAAATCACTACATTTTGGAATACCAATGGTCTGGCGTGAACCTCAGAATCACAGCACTGACTGTTACTTCTGTACTTGCAATGTGAAGGGTTTTAATGCAAAGAACACAAAAGGAATTGTATACCCAAACTTACCATCTGCTATGTGACTAGGTGCTCATGGGCCTGGTATTCCGATACCTAAGCCACCTACAGACACAATAGAACTTATTTCACACACAGGAAGTAATAGTGATTTATCATCACTTGTATCTGACGAGTTCGTTCCTGAAACGTCAAATGCGCCACAACCATTATCACAAGCCAAGCTAAATAATATAGTAAGGGGTTTCAACCTTCCCAAGGGAACAGCTGAGCTGTTAGGTTCCAGACTACAGGAAAACAACTTGCTAGCAGCTGGTACATCAGTGACTTTCTACAGGAACAGAGAAAAAGATCTCTCACAGTACTTGAGTGATGAAGAAAATCTAGTTTACTGTAATAACATTCCAGACTTAATAAACAAATTCGGTTCTGTTAAATATGATCCAAATGACTGGAGGCTATTCATCGATTCGAGTAAAAGAAGTCTTAAAGGCGTGCTGCTACACTGTGGTAATGTCCTTTTTTCAGTTCCAGTAGCACAGTCAGCATGGCTGAAAGTTTGAAGTTTGTTTTGGAGAAAATTAAGTATGTTGAACATCAGTGGTTATTTTGTGGAGATTTGATAGTTATCAGTTTGATATTAGGACAACATCAAGGATTCAAATATCCATGCTATATGTGTGAGTGAGATAGCAGGGCAAGAGAAAAACATTGGAAACAAAAACAATGGCCCAAAAGAGACAGTTTAACACCAGGAAGAACGAACATATTAAGGGATAGCCTAGTAAATCCTAAGAAAATAATTTTGCCACCTCTTCATATAAAACTTCCTATATTGAAGCACTTTGTTAAAGCTCTTAACCAAGATGGTGATTGTTTTAAATATCTCAGCCACACGTTCCCTGCTCTGTCTGAAGCAAAAATTAAAAAAGGAATGTTTGTAAGTCCTTTTGTTTGTGAAAGTTGTGGACAATTTTCTAGAAAATAATAAACATCCTGATTATGTCAAAATTGTGAACAACATGTTACAAGAGTTCAGAACTTTGGGATGCAACATGTCTCAAATTACACTTTCTGTTTTCACATTTGGATGTATTTCCTGACAACCTGGGAGCATTAAGTAAAGAACAAGGAGAGAAATTTCACCAGGATGTTCGAGAAATGGAGAGGAGATACCAAGGACGATATAATATTTCAGTGATGACAGATTACTGCTGGATGCTGTGTAGGGAATCTACGGAAATACACAAGAGACAAACATTTGAAACTAAACGAACAAGATTTTACTGATGTATGTTTATAAACTGTATGGAAATGTGAAATTTTTGGCAACAAAAACTCACAAATGCATTTGTAACTATTATATAAATTCTGATTTTGTATTTTTTAACAATAACATATGTGGATATTTCATTCTTGATTTGCCAAAGAACCTGATGTGATAGAGAAAAACGAAGGTCATTTTGGAAATCAGTGATACTGAAATATTTAGAATCACATTTCAAATGTAAAACAGCTCACAAAAAAATTTAATTTGTAGACCTGTGTTATCCATCACGCATTAGATCCAGATTCCCCAAAGGTCTCTTTCGCCCTCCCTAATTCATAAAAGTATTTGCCCCCTCTTCCCACAAGCACTCTCCCTGCTCCTCTAAACCACAAATGCAAACTTCTCTTAGTGGAGATATCCAAATAAGAAATTTAAAAAAAGAGTGAAGGATTGTTCCGAGACATGCATTGGCCTGAGGATGATCAAGTAAAAACATTTACGTCACATTGTACCCGTCAAAATCCCCGAAAGACAAAAGTCGAACGGGAAGAAATTAAATTTTAAAAAAGTGCCGCCTGGGGCGTGCAGCCCCCCCCCCCCCAATGCTACACCACTGCCTCCAGGTATCTCTGGCAGTGGGGCACCGCCCCAGCAGGGCAAGCTCTGCGCTCCCGACTGGTCTCTCTCGACATGTGTGGTAGTGCAGTTAATGTAAATGAGCGTGTGTTGTGGAATGGGCAAGGTTAGAACAAGGAAGAGGGGGGCATCGTGCGCGGTTCATGGTCCCTTTGTTAAGGATCTCATCCGGCATTCGCCTGATCGGAAAATCATCGGAAAACTACAGATCGGACCAGCTGGGCGCTCGAGTGATCCGCCAGTGATTCAACTAACAAGTATATTCTAAGAAACCACGAAGTTCTTTCGCGCTCACGAGATGAAAAAAGAGAGGGAGGCAATAGGCGGCCTTACACCACCGTTCTTGAACGTGCGCCGGGCGGCGAGCCACTAAGGTACACGTTTCAGAACGCAGGGAAGTTCGGCTTGCGCGCAAGAGCGCGGTTCGGAACGCTGCGAGCAAAAGCGTGGCTCGCGTTTACACGTGGAGTTTTGTTGCGAGTGGTCATAGTGACCAGCCGGGCGGTATTTTGAAATGACGGATACTCGTTGCTGGAGCCGGGATATGGTGAGGGATTTTCCTTTCATATATAGGGAACACCCTAGTCTATAGAAGCTTAAAAGTTCTGTGTATACTAATAATATTTTAAATATGAGGGGTACGGGAAGTCATCAGAATAGTTCTCCTTTAATTCCTTCAACAGCGGTATGTGGTCACATTTTTGTCTCTAACTTTTTACCCAAAACAGTGCATTTTTTCCTGACAATTTCCTCTTGGTATAGTGTTGAGGCACTAATTCCAAGCACTGCTATAATTTTCTTTTTATGATAATTGTGAACGGACAACATTTCTGATTATGCTAATTGAAAAAATAGTTATCTGATTCACTATACACAATATAAACACCACAAGACAACATCCAACACGATCAGAACATATACAATGCTCCAACACAGTAGCAGCAGCAGCGAGGAGCGTGGAACGCACGTGACGACCGTCGGAGCTCGGAAATTCCGCGCGCCGCACAAGAGCACGCTCTAGAACGCTGAGACCTTTACATGGACGATTTTACTCGAAACGTTCGTGAGTGGAGCGCAGAAGCGTGGCAGAAACGACAACCACACTCCTGCGCACCACGGTCCCGCCCGCCTGCGCTGGCGCGCGCTCTAGCTCGTGGTCAAGAACGTCTCGGTCAGCCGCGCGGCTACAATTCCCGTGTAAAGGGCCCTAATGTTATTCAACCGGGAGCTTCAATACCAAAAATTAAGTCATTACGAAGCTCGCGACTCGATGACAGTGTTCCTCTCTCCTGTCAGCTCGTGCCTTCGAAATTACTTCCTATTTTAATCGGAGTCTATCCTATTTTATATCTATCGGTGTCTTCCTATTTTAATCGGAATTTCCTATTTTAATGATTGATTAATAATTACAAAGGTCGCGTCAACTGCTAAGATCATTAAGGTCCCGTAAATGTAACGCATGTATTCTGAGAAGGTGGCGGTAATTTTGTCCCGCTGGATAGCGAAATCCGGATCCGATCTACAGTTGGCTAGCGGGTTTTCCCCAACCAGGTATCTCCCACTAGCGAGTCGCCAGCGAGGCGGTCCGTGGCCCGTTCGGTATGCTACTGCTCCGGCATTCGCCTGGAGTTGTTTGGAGAAACCACAGAAAACGTTTGATGAGAGTAGCCGTCCGCTGGAATTCTCCAAGAACTCGACCTAGCTCTCAGGCTAGTGTCGAAAATCGTTGCATCGTCGGGACTCGATCCCAAGGACCTCGTCAGCCACCTCTGCTAGTTCCTGTTTTAATCCGAGCAGGGAAGCGTGGGGCGCCGGGGCTCACCTGCGGGCGAGGGCGCGGCGGGGCCGCCGCTGGCCGTGCGGAAGAGCGCGGGGTGCGCCTCGGCCGGGAAGCGCGTCTGGCAGCCCGCCGAGCGCCGGCTGTCGGTGCGGGCGACGGCGGCGTGCGCGCCGGCCGCCACCGCCCCGCCCGGCACCGGGCTCGCCTTGCGGCTGTGCGCCGCGCTGCCGCCCCCGCTGCCGTGGTTGTTGTTCAACTTGAAGCGCGCGGGCGTCACCTTGGCCGCGCTGTCGCGGGCCTCGAACGTCATCACGCACGCCGCTACCACGATGAAACCTGCGGGGCACACCCAGGAGGGATTCGCGTAAGAGAGACCGTGTGGAGCGTCTTTCAAGTTTCTCGAACTTGAGGGAAACTATGAATGAGTTAAAAATTACACTTTTATAAATTTCATTCAATTCGATGTATATTAATGTATTCTACATGAAACTTAATGTAACAACGTGCATTAAAAGTAGCTTAATACATTTGTACATTACATTTAATGCCTATGTTAATATCAGTGTAGGTTTAATGTAGAGGTTCTTCTGTTTCCCCTGCCTCTCATCATTCGTATCGTATATTGCCAGTGCATCAAGAACAATCCTTTCTTCCAGATATGACCATAAAGCGTTCACTCTTGCGTACTAATGTACCGTCGATGGTACAAAAATGGGCGTTGTCCTGAAACGAACTTTACCAATTTTCGTACCCCTGCCTCGCCCTGCGGGATCGAGGTTGTAACGTATTAGCCAGCGTGCCTCATGGCATCTATTTGGGGACGCTTGGGAGAGGATTAGCCTCGACACAGGAAGAAGGGTTTTTCCGTAAAGGGAAGAAGCGGAAACGGGAGACACAAGGCTTTGGGAGTCATCCGGCCTATTCACTGTTATAACAAGCGAGGGGGTGGCGTGACGTAGTAGGTCACGTGGGCCTCGCCTATATAACAGAGTGTACAGAGCCAGTGCGTGGGTTCTGGAGACAGTGGGAGAACCTCGTGCGTGTGCACAAAACCTGGCGCCACGACGGTGCATATGCGAGCCAGGCTCGCGAGGCTCGAGTCACTAGTTGACGAAGCCTGCGGACTTTAGGTCCTTGGGTGACTGCGGTCACGGGGGAGCGGTGCTGTGTGCGTGCTCCGAGGTGAAGAGTGGTTGAGTGCCACGATTCACGCCGATTCTCAATCGGATAAGATCGCTCCTGCGATCGAGGCAAACCAGCCGTTGGTGCGCCAGAACGGACTTTGTGTCCCAGCGTGATATCCGGTCACGGAAGCTAGGCTTTGTGCACGCTTCAAAAGTAGGAGTGGCGAATGCCACAATCAAAACCATCTTCAATCGGGTTTGGATCGCTCCCGCGATCAGAGGATAGTAGGTCTATCAGAGCTAGGGTCTGAGTAGATTATTAAGTGTATATATTTGTTTTGTTTTCTTTGTTAATAAATATATTGTTATACGAAAGCTCTGTGTCTGTGGTCGCTGTGAGTATCCATGACGTCACACTATGTTGAGAAATGAAGTTGAATTTTGTAAAAAATAAATTGTCTTTTTTAATAGGTTACGGACTTTTCAATCCACAGTTTTATCTTATTGCCACCAACAGTGAATTTCTTAAGTACACATTTGCGGCATTGTTGCGCAAATTTCAATTAAGGTTCGCTTGAACAAATACTGTGACCACCTGTTTTTCATATGTAAAGGAAAAAAACGTGGCACATTCCTCTTACCACAGAGAGGAAAGACGCGCGCATAGTGTCTCGAGGTAACAACAGGATACGATAGTGTAGCTAGTAGGCGATGCAACTGCCAGCTGTAGCGGAAAGCGCTCTTTCAATTCGAAGCAGTCGAACGGAGAGGTCGGATTCCGTAGCATAGCAGGACGAAGAATCTCTGCATAAATCACGGACGACTCCCGGAAGGTCTACAAAAGCTCTTCACAGATAAATCAGAAGAGTTTTTGTTTTTCTTCGTGTATGATTGTAATTAAGAAGAGTTTTTCTTCATTCTATGGTTGTAATTCAGAAGAATTTTGTATGTTATAACAAAGAAGTGTTTCTTTGTATGGTTAGTGGATTAGACATTCCATTGCAACATTGCAACCATTACTTTAGGTTGATTTCATTTCCCCTTTGCACATTAGACTCGGAAAAGAAATACTTGGATACGTGAAAACGCATAGAGCAGTGAGCTAAGGGCCGCGTACGTCAAGATACTGGTGCACTGGAGGCGAGGCGGATTGAAGGTCACGGAACGGCGACAAAACCCTGGTGTAACCAACGTCTCGTTATCCTGCAGGCGAATTCAACTAAAAAAAGGGGGGATTCTATTATTCTTTAAAACTCAAGTAGGACAGTGTAATGCAATAATCATACTAAGAAGGACTTCTTACCATTCAATAGTTGAATCAATCTTTCTCTGGTAATGAAAAATTGAAATCTCAGTATTGTATTATTTTATGCTATAATTGAAAAGGTCTGCAGAAAGCTTAGTCAGTGAAAATTAATGACTGTTAGCTTAGGATTGTTGTTTCTCACAGGAAGATTTCATTGAAATGTTATGTGTGTGTATTATGTATTTGTAAAGGAGCCAGAAAGGTTAAAAAGAGATTATAATATATTTTGTTTGTAGGGATTACTCATTTGACTTGAATGAGCGTGGGAGTTCTGTTACCATAGAGAATCCACATCCCTGATATTCCAGAAAGGTTAGAAAATAATTTTGTACGTATTCAAAGAGATCCGATTACAATACATTGATAATATAAATTGTAAAATAGAGTAAAATTAGAATTAATATTGTCATTTTCATTAGTTAATTATAATTAAAACTAAACTATTTATTTTTCAAATAATTTGGATACATTCCTGTTCTCCGAGGATTTTTCTCGTGTTGAGTGGACACTTGTATATATTTCATTAATATCAGGCAGAAATTTCGCGAAAACTACTTTTTTTTTTAAACATGTACATGTCCTTTTTTAATGAGCTGCTTTTTAAAACATTTTTGTTTAAGACAAAAATCTCCATCTTCCATTTTGTATTTTTCAAATGTTAAGTTTCTGCAATTTTCTAAAATAGAGTTCAACGAAAATTAGACATGCGCTGTTATTTTAAGCGAACCTTCTTCTATCCGTAGAATTTTGAATTTGGAGCGACTTTGGACAAAATAATTTTTTTAGAAACTGCATTAATTTGAAACGCAAATTACACAACAACTACTCTTTTTTTTTTCAAAAACATGTTCATGATATTTTTTAAAGAGCTGGGTTTTTTACAACAAACTGTCGGAGGAATAATCTCTATCTTCAATTTTGTAGTTTTGAAATGTTAACTTTTTGTCATTTTCGAACAACCGAGCAATACCCGAAAATGGGGCTAACGCAGTATTTTTTACCGTCTCTTATTGCATATGAGGAGAAAATTTAAAGAAAAAAATTGGAGCGAATTTTGAGAAAAACATTAATTGACTATATTGCAGGCAAAATTAAACGAAAACTACACATATTTTCGAAAAGTTGAACATTACCTTATTTTACTGTTTTAAGAAACATTTCTTTTAAGAAAAAAATGGCTTCATAATTGTAGTTGAAAGAAGATTTCCAAACCTGCACCATTCTGTTAAACGTCTTTTACACAATCCAACAACAAAATTTAATGAACAACGATGGGAGTACTTTTTTGAACAATTTGAAAATGTCCTAGGAGCTTCATGTAAAGTTCTCCTTCAAATTAAAATATCCGTTTCGAATTCAAGGGCCCATGACGTGAAATATATTTTTTTAAGTACACTTGTGTATTTAAAAAAAATTCATTGTAACGGCGTTTATATCATATTAATGAATTTATTTATCACTGTCTACACAAAAAGTTTAAAGAAATAATTTACAGCCTTTTTGAGAAAATCTTGTTTCTAATAAGGCTTGCAGTTCATGAAAATTATGCGAAAACTACAAGTGTGATATAATATTATCAATTTTATAATACAATATTATCTAAGAAATGTAAATGGCATTAATTAAAGAAGTAATTAAGGAGAATATTTTGCATTCGAAGAGAAAAATCTCCTTCAATTTTCCTTTTTTTGCTGCAGCTTTACATTACTCTCTGTAAACATTGTAAGCAGTATGCGAGAAAGTAAAAATGTAACAAGCATACTCGTGGTTCATTTTATCTGGAAGAGAATAGAGGTTCGAAGATTTAGGGGTAAAATACATGCCCTTCTGCCCCTCCCCTCGGTTATACCCTTGTAAAGAATAATGATAAAAAAACTGAGGAAGGACAGTAAACTCATAAAAAACACATTTTAAAATTCCATACAAATATTTATTTAAACATATGTTACAAAGTTTTTTTACCGAGCGAAGTAACTGCATAGCGCGCTTCAAGCACCATGCCAGTCATCCTGACCGTACAATTCTCGTAGTTTCCCTTCAGTCATTCAGGCGAATGTGGGGATGGTTCTACTGAAAGGTAATCGCGAAACCGGCGGCGTCGCTAGCCGAAGTCACGAATGTTGCGAATTTGAGGCCTTGAGGGTTCGTGGATGGGTGACCGACTAGGAACCTGGGGATCTAAAGGTGCATATTTGTACTAGACACAAGTACAAAAATACAAATACGAGCTTGTAAAATATTTTTTTCTTTTTCTAATTTTTATCTTTGATACTTTTGCTAGTCGCCTGGAGTTTCAAAAATAAATAAATAAATACATAAATACACAAATTAATACATAAATATATAAATTAACACATAAATTCACAAATTAATACATAAATTCACAAATAAATACATACATGATTTTTTTTAAATCACACAGTAGTTTGAATGTATTAACCATTTTCTAAAAGAACATATTTTAAACAATATACAGAATGAAAAAATCTTAATTTGCAATGAAGAAACTATATTCAGAACAATACAAGAATAATATCAAACTGCATGTACTTATGCAGAAGAATTTACTTCATGAAAGAAATATTTGGTAGATCCAAAAACGGAGATGACAATCAGATTTGAATAATAGTTATCTACCACTTATCAGTCTTTATCGACATCGTGTTTTCACCCACAATTCTGCTTTTTTCGTTTTGAAAATTTTGAATTCCATTTGTTCCTTGCAGATTATTATTTTCATGATCAAATGAAACCATTTCTAAGTCCTCGTTCGTTCCATTAGCCTGTTCCTTACATTTTGAAACTACTGGATTTTCAGTTCTCCTTCTATATTTTGTTTTGTAAACCCAGAATCCAACAAGAGCAATGAAGATTATCGAT